ATTTCTTCAAAAAGATTCCATAAGTTGCATAAGGTCTCAATTCTTAAACATGTGCAACCTTGGGTATCTTTATTGGGGAAAAACGTTTCGCCACCGTGGCTCACAGTCCTAAAAAGGAGAATCTGAAGAACAGGAGGAGAATGAGGTAATCAGTCCTCAACCTTGAGTCGATGTGGTCAGTCCATCAATCTTGAGTAGTATACGGCATACGTGCGGAGAAGGAGCTTATAAACCTTTGGTAGGAGGGGCAGCAGTCATAGGCGGTGTCACATTGTTCAATGTGGAAAAAGTCGTGCCCAAGAATTAGGAAAGCGAAGAATTTCCAGTATTAAGATCCCAAGAAGTTGCAGTGTCTGACAGGTTTGTAGATAAAAGGTTCAGAGACCGACATGTGATAAATTAGACACATGTGCAACTCTGGGTATGTAAATTAGACACATGTGCAACTATTGGGTATCTTTATTGAGGAAAACGTTTCGCCACACAGGGGCTTCACAGTCATAAAAAGGGAGAATCTGAAGAAACAGGAGGAGAACGAGGTAATCAGTCCCTCAACCTTGAGTCGATGTGGTCAGTCCTTTAAATCTTGAATAGAATACGGCATACGTGCGGAGAAGGAGCTTATAAACCGTTGGTAGGAGAGGTGCAGCAGTCATAGGCAGTGTCACATTTGTTAAGTGGAAGTAGGGTCGTGCCCCAAAGAATTAGGAAAGCGAAGAATTCCCAAGTATTAAGATCCCAAGAAGTTGCGTGTCTGACAGGTTTGTAGATGATTGGGAATTCTTCGCTTGCCAAATTTCTTGGGCACGACCTACTTCCACATTGAACAAATGTGACACCCCCTATGACTGCTGCACCTCTCCTACCAACGGTTTATAAGCCCCTTCTCCGCACGTATGCCGTATTCTACTCAAGATTGATGGACTGACCACATCGACTCAAGGTTGAGGGACTGATTCCCTTCATTGTCCTCCTGTTTTTCAAGATTCTCTTTGTATGGACTGATGAAGCCACTGTTGTGGCGAAACGTTTCCTCAATAAAGATACCCAAGAGTTGCACATGTGTTTTAATTTATCAACATGTCGGTTCTCTGAACCATTTTATCTACAAACCTGTCAGACACTGCAACTTCTTGGGGTCTTAATATTGGGAATTCTTCGCTTGCCTAATTCTTGGGCACGACCTACTTCCACATTGAACAAATGTGACACCGCCTATGACTGCTGCACCTCTCCTACCAACGGTTTATAAGCTCCTTCTCCGCACGTATGCCGTATTCTACTCAAGATTGATGGACTGACCACATCGACTCAAGGTTGAGGGACTGATTACCTTATTCTCCTCCTATTCTTCAAGATTCTCCTTTGTATGGACTGATGAAGCCACTGTGTGGCGAAACGTTTCCTCAATAAAGATACCCAAGAGTTGCACATGTGTCTAATTTATCAACACTTGGTGTACTTGGTAACACTTGTCATACATAGCAACGCGTGTGTAAGTGAGATTGTTTAGGTACTGGTTCATCTATCTACAGCTGAACATTATGATTGCATACAACATGTATAACATAGTAACGTGTGAGTTACCCAGGATGGACCAAGGAAGTCGACCAGAGTGATTTATCTCATTGTCATTGTAACATTACCTATTTTTTTTTTTTTTTTTTTTTTTTTTTTTTTTTTTTTTTTTTTTTTTTTTTAGTAATAGTTTACAATCTAGGGGTTTGGGGTAAGGGGGTTTCTTAAAGCATTCATTGTTTTCTGCTATAATTATTTCAGGGGACTTTAAAATTAGGTGGCAGTACCTAAAATAACTCAAGGGGAAGTTTCTTTTGAATTTGAACCTCATGTTTAAGGGGAAAAGTTGTCAAAAATTTAAATTTTATGCTCAATTTCCCTACTTTGTCCTCTCTCTCTTCTTTTCTTTTAAACTTTGAAATTTTGGGTGATAAGTGTAAAAACCTCGCCATTCCCATCCATTATTTTAAATTTAAAAATTGTAAAAATTTTTTATTAAAAACCCATACAAGGGGTTTTCTGAGTGTTTTTTTTTGGTGGGGTGGGGTGTCGTATTGAGGGGTTTGGTGGTCGGGGTTTGATTTAGGGTTTGGGAAAGGTGTTCTTTAAAAACTTGAGCATTGGTTTGTGATTTTATTTTGGACTTCTGACTTTGTAGTGAAAATTTCTCTTGCATAAGCTAAAAGGGGAAAAGATAAGCGGGGAATTCTTGTGTTGTGAGTTTTAAAACCAATAACACACTGAAAAACAGGGCCCAAACGCATAGGGGAAAACCTATTTCTGCAGGTGTTGGAAATGTGAAGCTTCCAGCCCTTTAAAATTAAACAAAAGAAAAAAGTGAGAAAGGGCTAAGAGCTTTCGACGTAGTAAATTTCCCTTTTTACTGTAAACAATGTGATCCCTAAACGCCCCTTGGGGGCAAAAGGGGCTACAAAAGGGTTTTTCTTAAAGGGGAAGAATGTTTTTAAGCGAATTTTCCCTGACAACACCCTGCTGCCTGCTAAGTGGCATGGCTAATGGAACTGAAAAACAAGCATCCTAATTTCAAGGATCCAAAAAAAGGAAAAAACACAAACTTTGTGTTTGTGGAACAAAATTTTAAAGAGCTGATCAATGTCTATATAAAACCCCTTAAATGGGGAAATTTTAAGCTGCTCCGCCCTTTCCATCGGCCCACTCACCACTTTAAAAAAGGGGGTAAATCAAAACCCTTTTGGATACCCATTCTGCAGGGCCCCACCCCATCTGACTCTAATGAGCATATCATAACCCTTTAAAAGATTTTAAAAGGAAACCCCAAAATTTAAATTGCCAGTTGGGTATTCCTGTGCCCTCCCCCGAATATCTGGGTGAAAGGTTTACTTTTCCCCTAAAATCAAAGTGTCCCCAACCCCCTAAACGTAGGTTTTAAAAAATGCCAGCATTTGGGGGCCAGGGTTTCAGTAGACTGTGGAATACTACATTCGGGTGTGGTAAGTGTGCTGGGAAACATTCCACCTAGAGAATCCCACAGTGGGCCCCTGAACCCCAAATTTTTAAAAGTGTTTTAAACTGTAAAAAAGTTGGGGTTACATTTCCCCCACAAGGACTGCAGTCAGAACCCAAAAAAAACCTCGATGTAAACCGGATAACAGCCCTTTTAAAGGGGGAAAACTGGGGGGGGACCCATCCAGTCTCCCCACAGCCAGATCGGGAGACTGACCTCTGCAAAGTGTGCAAAAACCCCCACCTAAATGCA